GCGGCCGGGGAAGGAGGGAAGGGGAGGGGAGTCCCGGCTCTCCAAGCGCACGAGCAGAAAAGCCTGTTTAAAAAAATTTTGCAATGCAAAGTGGGGCTGATAGAAAACCGCTCCCTTCCCCTTCCCTTCCCTTCCCTTCCCTCCCCTCCTCTCCTCTCCTCCCCCAGGGAGGGCGGACCCCGGTCCTTTCCGAGGCAGGACTGATGCCGGGCGTGCAAGGGACCCCCAGGGAGTCGGACCCGACTTCGGGGCTTGCTGCCGGCACTTTCGTGCCTCGACATAAAGACCCGCTTCAACTTTAGGGGACCACCCAGTGCTCCCTGGGGGCTGGCAGTGAGCACTAGGAAGTAAAACGAGAAGCAGACTTCTTTGCATGCTTCTTTGCATATTTTTTTTGCACGCTTTGCATCTCTTTTGCATACGACTTGCTGGCTTCTTTGCAGACCTTTTGCATACTTCTTTGCAAAGAAGTAAATAAGATTAAAGAAGTAAATAGGAAGAAATAAGTCAACAGGAATAAACAGTGGTGCAGGAAAGATATGCAAAGAAGTAAATAAATAAGTCAATAAGACTAAATAGTGGTCCACTAATAGTGGACCACTAAATAGTGGTCTTCTTATGCAAAGACATAAGAAGAAATAAGTCAATAGGAATAAATAGTGGTACACGAAAGATATGCAAAAGATAAGAAGTAAGTCAATAGGAATAAATAGTGGTGCACAAAAGATATGCAAAGACATAAATAAGAAGTAAGTCAATATGAATAAATGGTGCATGAAAGATATGCAAAGACATAAATAAGAAGAAGTAAGTCAATAGGAATAAATAGTGGTACACAAAGGATATGCAAAGGTATAAATAAGAAGAAATAAGTAAATAGGAATAAATAGTGGTACACGACAGATATGCAAAGAAGTATGCAAAGAAGTAAATAAGAATAAAGAGGTAAATAAGAAATAGCGTACACTAAAGTTACATGAAGAAGCGTTCAAAGAAGTCTTCTTATTTACTTTATATATTGGAAGCTCAAAATTATCGTATGTGCTGAAACCCCCCCACGACTGTAGGTTTTTCAGCACGTAGGAG